CTGCGCCCTCCTGCGATCTGCGGCTATCGTCCTGCGAGCTCCTGCGACCTGCGGCTATCGTCCTGTGACCTGCTGCTATCGTCCTGCGACCTGCACTATCGCCCTTCGACCTCCTGCGACCTCCTGCGACCTGCGGCTATCGCGTGCGACCTCCTGCGACTTTCTGCGATCTGCGGTTATAATCCTGCGACCTGTGACTGTGATTTCATTACGGCTATATAACCACGACTACGACTCACTACGACTCACTACTACGACCATATAATTACGACTTACTACGACTCACTATGACCATACAACTACGACTACGACTCACTACGACCATATAACTACGACTACGACTCACTACGGTTCACTATGACTCACTACGACCATATAACTACGACTCACTACGATTCACTATGACCATATAACTATGACTACGACTCATTACGACCATAAAACTACGATTACGACCTTCTGTTTTCTCTAATATTTTTTCTATATTCTCTATTTCTTACAGTTTATCTCATCAATCACATATTCTTTTGCATCATTTCTTTTTCTATAGTATTCATATGATCATTTTTTGTGACAATCTATCTTTTAGAAATCGGAACGCTTTGTTATTTGATCTTATTTTTTCTCCAATATTTTTTCTATCTTCTCTATTTTTTATATAGTTTATCTAATCTATTCAAATACTCTTCTCGTTGATTTTTTTGTGATATTCTAATCATTTTTTTGCATGCACATAAGGAGTTTGATGAAATGTCTGTACCAGAAAACTGCAGCAGATGACTTGCGATCTGTGAAAAATGACATGCACTCTGCGTTAAATAACCTATGGTCTCTGGCAAATGACTGTGATATGCCTCAAATGATCTGCGGTCTGCGGCAGGTCATTTGGCCTGCGATCGCCCTGCGGACCTGCCGCAAATGATCTGCGGTCTCAAACATTTTCTCTATCTTCTCTATTTCTTACAGTTTATCTAATATATTCAAATACTCTTCTGGTTGATTTTTTTTTCTGTGATATTCTGATCATTTTTTATGCATATAAGGTGTTTGATGAAATGTCTATGAAAGAAAATTATAGAAGATGACCTGTCGTCTGTGAAAAATGACCTACACTCTGCGGTAAATGATCTACAGCCTACGGCAGCTGATCTACAGTCTGCCAGATGACCTGTTACCTGTGGCAGGTCATCTTTAGCACCTACGGCACCTATCGCACCTGCTAATCTGCAAGTGTTTTTTCTATATTTATATAAGAAAACAAAATCCATATAAGTGTTTTTTCATATATGTAGAGGAAAACGAAATTCATGCAAATATTTTTTTATAAATGTAGAAAATCTGCAGGTTATAATAATATAGAAGGATATGATGGTCATTTTAACTTAAAAAAGTACGAATACAAAGAGTATATAATGCAAAGACTTTTTTTTTGTACATTTATGCAAATTTTCTCTTAATTTTTTTTGGTTTTCCTCATTGTTTTTAATTAATGGACCAAACCGTGAATATTTTTCGTAAGGGTATACGGATTGATTCACATGTATAATGGCAGAACAACAAATCACGATTTTTTTTACGTAAAATATCTCGGATCTAAAATTATGCGAATAATCATTACATGGTAAATTGAAAAATAAATAAATATGATTTATAAAAATGGATTTTCTATTTAAGGAATCGAATAAAATTTTAATACTATATAAATAGGAAATAAATAGAAATTTTAAAAAATAATAATAAACGAGAATACGGAATTATAGAATCTTAAATATTCATTTTTTTACAAAATAATGTCCGAAATGAAAATTTATGTAAATTTTATTTCGAACATAATCATACAAAAAAACATGTTTGAGCAAAATACCACAAAAGTATGTTTGAAATACATTAGGGAATCTCCCAACAATCTTGTTACTTTCAATAAGAAAACACGTGTCACCAAATGGTCACAATTGGACAAAAAGAAGATTGTGTTTGAAAATTAAACGCATGCATCTCTTACCATTTTGACATCAATCAAATTTAAAGACCATACTATATAATTTTTTTAGATATCTTAATGCTAATATCATAACAAAAAACTAAACAGAAATAAAATTATATTTAAAATTCAATATGTTTAATAAAAATAAAATCTAAACATTCGAATCAAACCTAAATATAACACAACCAACTAAATTACAAATATTTTTTAAAATAAAAAATCTTATATAAAAATAACTGAACCTATAATTAAATTTCATTAAAATATCACAATATATCCATTTTCTAATTTAAGTTTAAAATTTATTAAAATAAAATATTTATTATTGTTTTCTCTTACCATTAAAATTATGAGGTAAACTCATTAAACTAATTTAATTTAATATGATTATAATATTAATTAGATAACCACTTAAATTCGATTAATAGAATAATGAAACTCAAATTCAAATCAATAGGAATCGAATCCAAATCAAAACGAAACGAATTGAAATGAATGATCCAAATCGAATCCCAAGCGAAACCGACCCTATATAAAAAACAAAAAACCGAAGGTATATATATATTCTATAAATGAAATACTCAAACTCTAATGTAACCGAAATAATCGAATTGCTATGTACGTAGTCTTTTAATATAATTTGGACTTAAATTAATTATATCAGATATATATTTCAACCGAATGTATATTATAAATTAATATATAATCAGATATAATTTCACTCATAAATATTATAGAAGTATATTAATTCATAAATTAATTGATTTAATTGAGTTATGTGTGGAAGTGTATCGGATCTCAAATGCGAGACGATAGAATCGAACGAAAGAAAATAAAAGATACCAATATTTAACGTGGTTAGGCAGAATGCTTACGTCTATGGCGAAGAATAACACAAACTCCACTATATCGGTAAACAATTGTGGAATACAAGTTACAATACATATTCAACCCCACTTCTCAGATCTCCAAGACACAATCTTTCTC